AGAAGTAACAAAAATGAGCGCTCTCCTGGAACGGAATCAGTTGCATATTTATACAATTCAAACATTTCCATGCCAACCTCATTCACTCCCTTGAAAAACACATTCCTCGTTTGTTTAAACCAAAATTAGTGGCAGTTCCAACAATAAGACTGAAAATCCACAGAAAAGTAAGCACTGGACTACAGAAGGAGCTAGGATACAAAGATTTTTAAATTTTTCTAAGGAAAAAAAACAACCTATCCTCCCCACCTCCCACAAACACATCATTGAGTACTAACTGCAGTACCTGAAATCCCACTATTAGCCGACTGCCCCATTTACTGTCAATAGTAAGGTAGGAATGTCAGACACTTATCCATCTGATTATTCTAACCCAAAGGGGAAATGTATTTTAGGTCTTCAACACATTTGATGCGGACATCACTGTAATCTGTGACATACCACTTACTTGCTGGTCATTAAACTTTTATCATTTCTCAGAGACAGGGTCTCTATACTTTGAGGCCCAGGCTGGCCTCAAACTTGGGCTCAAGATATCCTCCCATCTCAGTCTCCTGAGTAGCTGGGATTACTAAATTTTGCTTTATAATTTTGCTGGAAATTGGATGCTGAACAAAAGAAAGAAGCAATACCAGGAGGGAGTTCATCCCACATTTATCCCCACTCGCAATGGTCAGAAGAAAGAAACGGCCACCAAGCCAGGCACGATGGCTCATGCCTGTAATCCCAGCACTTTGGGAGGAAGAGGCAAGAGGACTGCCTGAACCCACGGGTTTGAGACCAGCCTGGGCAACATGGTGAGACCTTGTCTCTACAATAAATCAAAAAATTAGTCAGGCAGGTGGTACATGCCTGTGGTTCCAGCTACCTGGAAGGCTGAGGCGGAAGATCACCCTTAGGTTAAGCCCAGTAGGTCGAGGCTGCAGTGGCCATAAGCATGCCACTGCATTCCAGCCTGGGCAACAGAGTGAGACTCTGACTCAAAAACAACAAAACACCCCAAATATATCTAACACACAGTCCCTGACTGGCTCAATTTAAGGTTTTTCTACTTTTTTTATGATGTGAAAGTGATATGCATTCAGTAGAAACTGTACTTTTAATTCTGTGTTTTGCTATTATCCTGTGCTAACTATATGTGGTACAATATTCTTACGTGAGATAGTAAACACTTTTTTATAAAATCGGCTTTGTATGAGATGATTTTGCCCAGCTGGAGGCTGATGTAAGTGTTCTGAGCACATATCAGATAGGCTGGGATGTTTAGCAGTGTACTAAATGCATTTTCAATTTATGATATTTTCAATCTACTACCAGGACAGAACCCATCACAAGTTGAGAAGCATCGGTAGTCCAACATCTATGAATTTAGTGGGATGTTTTCTTTTTGTACAATAGAAAAGTTATAATAATGCCCATATAATTTTGAAATTAACACAGTAAAAATTCCAGATACTTTTACAGATTGAAAAAGTATACACACATTTTAATATATATTGATATATACAAAACTTCTCATATTACTTTAAGGTAAAACTACTTGGCCATTATAGGCAGTAACATAATATGAGAGTATAATGAATACTATCCTACTGGGTTTGGTGAGAATGCAGTGTCTAGTACCTATTAACATAAATAAAAATCATGTAATAATTACAGAAATATTATGTAAGCACTAAAAATTAACTCTAAAACATGACACCAAATATTTGAAAAAAACTGTTTTAAGTCATCCCAAATACTGCCATGAATAAGGCAACTGTCTGTCTCTGGATCCTGAAAAGTGACTTATTTCCCATCCCAACAAACCAATTCCCTCATTTTAAAAACAAACCAAAAAAAGAGACTTAAAGAAATAAGACTAGTGATTGGCACTGCTTCTAATACAATACCAAATTATGACCCCATATCCACCGAATGCATGGGATTGTAAAATTAACAGGGAATGCTTTAAGAAAACATTTGAACTTTCTGGAAGTGGAAAGTACTCAACATTTAGATGAAACAGAAAGGCTGTGATGACTTTCTTTCCTACCACCATTATTTTGAATGACCTATTCAAAGACTTTAGAGGAAAAAAAAAATACTACTTTTGGGGGTCTTTACTGATTATGACTAGGCTCAGCAGAAAATAGGTAAATACTCTCTTAGATATTTGAAAACAGGCAGCAACGTAAAGCACATTATATTCTGACATTATCTGATGACAGAAATAAAGTTGGCTTAATTCCTTCATTGTGAGAATAACACACACTAGAATACACAAACTTATTTGGAAACAGGTCACCACTGAAATTTCATGGCATAGCACTTTTTGTTTTTTTGAGTCAGAGCCTCACGCTGCCGCCCAGACTGAAGCGCAGTGCCATGACATGACTCACTGCAGCCTCAAGATCCTGGGCTCCGGTGATCCTTCTGTCTCAGCTTCCCGAGTAGCTGGAACTACAGGTATGCACCACCATACCTGGTTAATTTTTTAAAAATTTGTATTACTTGTAGAAACGAGGTCTTGCTATGTTGCCCAGGCTGGTCTCGAACTCCTGAGCTCCAGGAATCCTCCTGCCTTGGCCTCACAAAGTGCTGGGATTATAGGCATGAGCCACCATGCCTGGCCAAATCACTTTAAATAAGGTCAAAGAGTATTATTACAAAAAGGCAATTATTTCTTAATTTTTGTTTACACACACAAGACAGTAAGTTAAATGCCAAATGTACACTCATCTTCATTATTTTTACATGGCTTTAAAGAAAAATTTCCAAACTACATTTTCAAATGCAAGACTAAAAAGCATAAAGTGCTTAACAGAAAAGACAACGAAAAATATGAAAAAAATTTTGCTTATAATAAGCAAAGTGGTTATTAAGAACATTTGGAAACTATTGCCTGGCTAAGCTTTCCACCCAAGAATACAACCTTAAAATTCAAGGCAAAATATAATGACTAATCTTTGAAGGCAAGAATACCATTGAAAAGAGAAAATCTGTTCACTTCAAATTGCATCATTCTGCTTACAGAAAGTCTTTCAAGAATTGGATGTACAATACAGCAATCATATGCACTCTCAAAGGTTAAAAAAAAAAACTCCGAAATTTTTATACAGTCTGATAATTGGCAAATAATTGTAACCTCTTAAAGGGCTTTTAATGATCATGTATATTACTGGTAATGGCATTTACTTTACCCAAACTAAGATGTCACTTAATTTCCTGCCTGTTAAGAGTAGTGGAACAAGGAATTGTCATGTTAAATTACATGGCAAGTCTAACTAACACTTTGTTTTTGAAGACATCTAGGTATAAAACTGAAACCCATTGGTTATGAAAGCTTCTATTTAAACGGCAATCTTTTTTGGGAGGGGAGGTAGTGGTGGGAAATTCTAGATCTTTTGTTCTTTATAAAAGTCCCAAAGCAAACTGATAGTGCTCAAATTAAAATCTGAGAGTTTTTAAGAATGAAAACTAAGCCCAAAAGTTACAAAGATTCTTCTGTGTGTACAGTCAACAATGCATTAAAAAGTCTTTTTTAAATTGACTGCTTAAAGTTCAATTAGAATTTTAGAAATTAAGAATCATCAAATTTGCTTCAGTGAAGGAAATATGTATTTTGGGGATTGCTGGGAACTGCCAGGAAATGTATCTTGGGCAACTTTATTAGTATCACTGGAAAAATGATACACATTACAGTAAAATGGCAGGATGCCAACAGTAGATACTTTAAAAATGATCAGAAATACACTTTCTCTGCATAAAATAAACTAGCCCAAGTAAACTATGATGTTAAATGTAGCATTGGTCACAGGTATAAAACCTGTAGTTACTATCATTATGATTCTTTTTTTTTTTTTTTGAGTTGGAGTCTCACTCTGTCACCCAAACTGGAGTGCAGTGGCCGTTCCCAGCCACCACAGCCTCGACCTGCTGGGCTCCGGTGATCCTTCCCCCTTAGTCTTCCAAGTAGCCAGAATTACAGGCATGCATTACCACGCTCAGCTGATTTTTTGATTTTTGTAGAGATGAGGTCTCGCTGCCCAGGCAGGTCTCGAACCCGCGGGCTCAGGCAATCCACTCATCTCAGCCTCCCAAAAGCGCGGGATTACAGGCTGAGCCACTGAGCCCAGCTATGAGAAACTTTTAAAATAAAATGAGTCATGGCATTTTGGCTGAAATATCTAGTCACTACAACACAAACATTAAAGCAAAGAACATGAAGTCGTTGCAGAATTTTAAAATGGCTACTGAATGACATGAACTCAAAATTCCAAATAGTTTAGATTGTAAAAAAATTACCTTTGTAAGTTCTCCCCTCTAAATACTCTTATTATTCACATGTTCATGTCTTTAAGAAAACTGAATTTTAAACACATGAGCACAACAAAATCGGAAAACTAGATGGAGACATTGTCTTTATCAAGCACCTCTTGATAGTCATCTTTACCAAAAACTGTTCTCTACCAAGCCAAACTCTCATCTGTAAAAACACACAGTAATACTTCTTTCATGTAAATAATTTTTAAGCTCTTCAAAGTACATCTAGATTTTTGGAAATTTAATAGAGGTGAATTTTTCCCAAGTCTTTCTACTTCCCAAATCATAAGCAACAGACTCAGATAAGTTCACCAACTATTGGACCCCAATAGTTTTTTGCATTTTTGCAAATGTAAAAATGTAAAAAACTAACATTGTAAAAAATGAATTCAAAATAGAAAATACAATTCCCAGGCAAAAAGATTTATCAACTTTGGAACCATAATGCTTTTATTATCAGAATGTACTAAACATTGATCCTTTCTAATAGCTCTGCAATACTGCCTCAGACTCCCACAACTCAAATCAATCCATCTTTGAGATCTCCATCAACTCATTTAAAATAAATGTGATTTTGTTGCAGTTCATAATAAAATAAAATCTTTAGCTTTGATGGTTTAGACAGCCTAAAAAGAAACCACTAGGTTTGGGCCTGAGATGAATGTGGTAAAGAAAACAAAATACTCTGTCAGTGCACTCAAACCATATTCCATTAGAACAGTCCCAGAATCTTATTACATAGGCTCCCAAGTAAGTAACTAAGCTTCCAATCTTAACATGTTCAACATTTTTAACATGTACTGATTAACTCACACACACAAAAAGTGCAATGTCACCAGCCATGTGCACCTTCCAAGGTTCATTTTAAAATTCAGCTATCATTTGCCAACAGTAGTTCAATCATGGCATTTGAAAAAAGCTGTACTTCTGGGGAAAGATCACATAAACATGCTTTTGGGGAGATACGTTAAAAAAATAATGTTGCCTTAACATTCCTAAAATCATAAAAATGCTCGTTTGATTGCCATTTCAGTAAGTTTTGATACAGGGTATGTTACTGCCTGCTCGCTTAGTAACGAAACAGACTTGTAACATATTCAAAATCCATTATTTTCATAAGTGCAACATTTCTGAGACTTTAAGATTTGTGTTTGAGCATACAGTACTGCAATGTTGGTACATAAAATAACAAGATAACCTTTTGAGAGGAAGCTCAATAATGAGAGGCTGTATTGCATTAAGGATTTAACACTGGCTATATACAAAAGGGAAAGCATTTCAATCAGAAATACTCCACGGTATTCAACTCCTGCCTTTGATTTGGCAACACTCAGCTTCTCTTTTATCCTTTGGTTCCCAGTGACAGACAATGCAGTAATAATGCCTCTGGTTGCAGTTTCTCTTGGGTGACATTTATTAGCTCACAGGAACCTGACGCTTTAGCTGAAATTTGGCAGCCCAAGAAGCGCACCAACTGCTCCAAAGTATCCCTGTGCAATTTTAAGACAACTGTTAATGTAGTACAGCTTTTAAATTACCATGTAACATTAACCACTTAAGAACACACATTTATGCACAATCCATTTGTTCAATAACATTTACATCTACCAATTTGTGTTATGTACTGTGAAACATTTACTAAAGCTGTATTCTCAATACATACCTTTGAAATATGTATTTTAATGTTTTAATTATTACTGCTGTTATTTTTAGAAATGGGTCTCACTGTGTTGCCTAGGTTGGCCTCAAACTCCTGAGCTCAAGTGACCCTCCCACCTTAGTCTCCTGAGTAGCTGGTACTCCGTGGGACTTCAGGTATGTGCCACCATGTGTGGCTTTTCAAATACGGATTTTAAAAGTGTGGCCTTGGAAGGCTGAGGCAGAAGGATCACCGGAGCCCAGCAGGTCGAGGCTGCGGTGACCGGGAGCGGCCACTGCACTCCAGTCTGGGCGACAGAGTGAGATTCCAACTCAAAAAAAAAAAGTGTGGCTTGTAGGCACTGAAAATTCCAGGACTCTAACAGTTGTCTTCTCTTTATTCAATAAACAAACTAATTTCCTGTGGCTCTGCCTGACACATCCTCCCCATGCCACATGAAACTGCACAGGGGAACACATTCTTATCTGTACAGTAAGAATGGTGACAATAAGATATGGAAGTTGAGTTGGAGTCTCACTCTGTCGCCCAGACTGGAGTGCAGTGGCCGCTCCCGGTCACCGCAGCCTCGACCTGCTGGGCTCCGGTAATCCTTCCGCCTCAGCCTTCCGAGTAGCCAGAATTACAGGCATGTGCTACCACGCCCAGCTGATTTTCTGATTTATTGTAGAGATGAGGTCTCGCTGCCCAGGCGGGTCTCGAACCCGCGGGCTCAGGCAATCCACTCACCTCAGCCTCCCAAAGGCGCAGGATTACAGGCTGAGCCACTGAGCCCGGCTTTAAGGAGAATTTTCATTGCTATGTATTTTTATATTGTTCACATTTAACATTTGCAATCTCACGAGGAAAAAACCCAAACAAAAGAAACCATTTAACCAAAGAAAACAAAATATTCACTAAGCATACAAGCATCCCCAGTCACCTGAGGAGCTCAGACCTCACACTGTTTTTAGTCAGAGCTGTGAAGTTCTTACCTTAATGGGGGCCTATCAGGTTATATTAACTCCCATCCCCCAACAGAAACTGAAGGGATGGAGTCAATATTCTACTTGCATCAATGATTTGTAGCCTTATACTTATATACAGGTAAGAAACAACATACATAAAAGAATGTTATTAGAATTCACGAAACATGTTTCTATCATACCTCATGTTCTAGAAACAATGCTTTCAGTTGACCTTTTGACCAGTAATCCAGTGCATATGCCAAAAGTTTCATTGAGAGGGTATTGACACGTAAAAAGTTTCCAACAAAGACAACTCTGTTTATTTTCTAAGAGAAAAGAAGGAAAGTGACTTGTAAAAAAAAACAATTAAATTTTAGAATACAAAAGGTTTACAAAATCTTTAACAATATAAAACTACCTTGTATTAGCATCTACTACATTCCTAGCACACAGCTTCACAATCCTGAGCATGATACATGTCCAATCCCACAGAACATAACAACACCAAAAGAGCGAACCCTAACGTGAGCTATGGGCTTTGGTGGTGGTGATCTGTCAACATAAGTTCATGGATTCAAACACATGGACCACTTTATTGTGGGATACTGATAGTGGAGGAGGGCTGGATATATGGTAACTCCTATCTTTTCACTCAATTTGACTGTGAACCAAAAGCTGCTATTAAAAGTAACATCTATTTTTTTTTAAAGGTTCTGAAAAGACCCTATCAGATTTTAGGTGAGGCTTGTTTTTCAAAATGGGCAATAAATAATCCATTTACCAAAGTAACCTGAAAACAAATTATTGATAAGATTAAAGAAATCGGTGGGGCACAGTGGCTCATGCCTGTAATCCCAGAACTTTGGGAGGTGGAGGCAAGAAGACTGCCCAAGTCCACGTCTCTACAATAAATCAAAAAATTAGCCGGGCATGGTGGCACACGCCTGTAAATTCCAGCTACTTGGAAGGCTGAGGCAGAAGGATCCCTGAGCCTAGCAGGTCGAGGCTACAGTGGCCATGAGGGTGCCACTGCACTCCAGCCTGAGCATCAGAGTGAGACTCCTACTCAAAAGAAAAAAAAAGAGTAAAGAAATCAAGCCAAGAAAAAGTATTTAAAAATGCATTTAGAATAAAATAAGCAGTAAACTTGGTCCATATATTGCAGGGCATGTTTAACAACAACATGCAAACATGGCATCTATAGTTGGCAAGTAATACTAACAGGAGTATGGCATGTGTTCAACCTCTAGGATTCTAGCGTTCTTTGTCACCAGGCTGATTCATTAAGCCAGCTATTCCCTCTCTGATCAGATTCCACAGTCACTAATTTGGTTTCTTAGGTGCCTCTATGATCAGGAAATCTTAGATGGGGAACTGGTGTTCGAATCTCTAGAAAATCTATTTCTGGCCGGGCTCAGTGGCTCAGCCTGTAATCCCAGCAATTTGGGAAGCCAAGGCAAGTGAATTGCCTGAGCCCGTGGGTTCGAGACCAGCTCGGGGAAATTGGCAACATGCCCATAGTTCCGGCTACCTGGAAGGCTGATGTGGGAAAAATGGCTGGGAGCCCAGCAGGTGAGCGCTGGGGTGGCCATGAGCGTGCCACTGCACTCCAGCCTGGGCGACAGAGTGAGATTCCAACTCAAAAAAATAAAATAAATTAAAAAAAAAAAATCTATTTCTACTTTCACAATATACTGTGACTTTTTTAAGTGCTAGGATTACAGATGTAAACCACTGCACCTGGTTTATCTTGTGACTTTTGAGTAGAAGTTCTTGCAGGAGTTTACATAGCATAAACTATTGCCTTAATTACTGTTAAGTCAATTGGCCAGTGAAATCTAGACATACAGGGCTAAGAATAAAAATTCCAGATTGTTGTCAGTCCCCAAAGTGAAATAGTCCCCAAATCTAGGTTAAAAATTCTTATAGTGGCTCCATCAACTAACTTACTACACTTAAATTTCTTAAGTTATTAAAAAACTGAGGAGACAAAGTTCTGGATTTAAGTTTAGAAAAATTCACAGTTTGCATAGTTGTACTAAGCTGCTGGAGCCTTTCTCCCCCAGATCGCTATAGGCATGGCTCCCCCCTCACTTTCCAAGGGACACAATTTCAATACAGTCTTCCTTTAACCATCAATTACTCGGCAATTTGCCCTCTGACCTACTGCCCATCTTCTTTATCCTGTCTACTTTCTCTTTAAAAAAAAAATAGCACTTATCACCCAATATATACTAAAGAACTTACTTAGTAAATCACTAGCAAGAATGTAAGCTCTGCTAATATATTCCAAGGGCTCAGAACAATGCCTAGCATGTGGTACTCTGTAAATACTTACTCAAGAGATAAATGAGTTAATAAACTTGAGTTCCTCCAAAAAGGAAACTTCTCAATCCATTAAAAATATTTGACATTTTCAAATATTAAATGGACAAGTATATCTATTATATGAAAAATTCTCTCTCTCTCAAATAAAAATATCCCAACTATGTGATAAATCTAGCAGTACATGCTTTTCACACTTTCTTTGGAGCAAGCAGTGAACATCACTGAATTATCACATGAAGAGCAAGTCTCAATGCCTTCATAGCCCTGTACAATGCTGCTTGATCCATATGCAACAAGGCAGCACTGTAAAGAAGCCGAAGGCAGTGAGAAAATCTCCAAAGATTTCACTAATATTTGTATTTATAACAGTACAAACAGGTTTTCAATAATTAGTTACTTCAGAATGTCTTATGTTTAGAAAGAACTTGCTTTTACATCCTCAAGAGATTTAGGCTGTGTTTTTCTGTAAAGGTCTCTAGATAAATAAAAAATATAACTTGCTGGGTGTGGTGGTTTATGCCTGTAATCCCAGCACTGTAGCAGGTGGAGGTGAGGACTGCCCGAGCCCACAGGTTCAAAACCAGCCTGGGCAACATGGTGAGACTTTGTCTACAATAATTCAAAAAATCAGCTGGGCATGGTGGCTCATGCCTGGAGTTCCAGCTACTTGGAAGGCTGAGGCAGAGGATCACCAGAGCCCAGCAGGATGATGTTGCGGTGGTTATGAACATGCCACTGCACTGCAGCCTGGGTGAAACAGTGGGAGTCCAACTTAGAAAAAAATAGAAAGAAAGAAAATACTACTATTTCTCTGACTTCAATCTGAATTATATGCTACCTTCTTTCAGGGCAACAGAACAATTTGGTACATAACATATAGACCTAATAAGTCTTGGAATTTAATTGACTAGATCTCAATCCTAGAGGCCTCCTCAAGGAATACGAAGAAGTCCTTAGCTGGGCGTGGTGGCTCATGCCTGTAATCCCAGCACTTTGGGAAGCGGAGTCGAAAGGATTGCCTGAGTTCAGGGGCTCATGACTAGTCTGGGCACCTTAACAAGACCTCATCACTACAATAAAATTTAAAAATTGGTGGGCATGATGGTATGCGCCAGTAGTTCCACCTACTTGGAAGACTGAGGTGGAAGGATTGCCTGAGTCCAAAAGTAAGGCTGTGGTATCTGTGAGTGTGCTACTGCACTCCAGCCTGGGGACAGAGTGAGTCTCTGACTCAAAAACAAAGAAAACAAGGCCCTCCTAGATGCACATAAAACTGCAATTCACATTTTTAATCTAATTAAGTATTTTTGTTTACCTCATTAACAGCACACATTCGTGCCACAGAACCAATGTTATTGGTGATAGTAACTAAAGTAGCTCTTGCAAGATCTTCTTTACTAACAGATTCGCGCTTCTCCTTATAAATCATATTCCCAAAACTGCAGAAAAATGAAGAAAACAAAGTCAAATCTGCTGATAACAAACAGTTTGTGTATTAGTAGATATATCTACAACCTGGACATTTTTATGAAATTGGGACCAAAAGGGTAAAAACACACAGGGATAAATCAAAACTAACAAAATCTACACAAGAATAAAGTAGTATCTTTTGAAGAATTAGGGTTAAAATGAAGTCTCAGGATGGGGCAGATAGTTGTCATAAGAAAGCAAATACTACTAAAATATCTTCATTTTTAAACCTGATTAAAAACAGTTAAATTGATTGACTGACTTAATTTTTTTTTGAGTTGGAGTTTCTAATCTGATTTAATTTTATTTTTGAGTTGAAGTCTCACTCTGTCACCAGGCGGGAGTGCAGTGGCACGCCCATTGCCACTGCAGCCTCAAACTCCTGGACTCAAGTGATCCTATCACCTCAGCTTTCCAAGTAGCTGGAATCAAAGGCACGTGCCACCATGCCCGGCTAATTTTGTTATTTATTGTAGAGACAAGGCCTCGTCAAGTAGTTCAGGCTGGTCTCGAATTCCTGGATTCAGGCAATCCTCTTGTCCCTGCCTCCCAGAGTGCTGAGGTTATAGGCGGGAGGCACTGCACACAGCAAAAGCCTTTATATTTAACTGTTAGCTGGGTGCAGTGGTACATGCCTGTAATCCTAACACTCTGGAAGGCAGAGATGAGAGGACTGCCTGAGCCCAGGGGCAACTTGGCGAGACCTTGTCTCTACACTAAATCAAAAAAATTAGCCAGGTGTGGTGGTGTGCACCTTTGGTTCCAGCTGCTTGGAAGGCTGAGGCAGAAGGATCGCCTGAGTCCAGCAGGTCGAGGCTGCAGTGGCCATGAGTGTGCCACTGCACTCCAGCCTAAGTGACAGTGAAACCAAGACTCAATTAAAACAAAAAATTGAAGGCTTTTTTTTTGAGTCGGAGTCTCACTCTGTCACCCAGGCTGGAGTACAATGGCACTCTCACAGCTACCACAGCCTCGACCTGCTGGGCTCAAGCAATCCTTCCGCCTCAGCCTTCCAAGTAGCTGGAACTACAGGCGTGCGCTACCACACTCAGCTATTCTTATAGGAAACCAAGAAAATATAGACAAGTACATTTTGACTTACTTTAAAAAAGTCAAAATTACAAAATGTTTCCAAAGGTATCTCAACTTTCATATCAAATTCCTTTTCATTCAGTCACAACAAAAATTTATGAAATGCCAAGCATTGTGCTGGGAACACAAAGATGGTCCCCTTAAGCAATGAATTAGTCTAGTGTAGCACTGTCCAATAGAAATAAAATACCAGCAATATGTGACTTTATACTTTCTACTAGCCACTAGAAAGGTAAAAATAAACAAGTGAAATTAATTTTACTTTTTTTTTTTTTTTTTTTGAGTTAGAGTCTCACTCTGTCACCCAGACTGGAGTGCAGTGATTTTAATTGTACATTTCATTTAAGTCAATATGGGGGGACCCCAAAAACCTTAAGTTATTTACAAAAATTGAGAAACTTCAGTCATCTTCAAAGTACTCTCCATTTGATGAAATACACCTATAGAGACGCTTTTCCACTGTTCAAAAACAGTTTTTTGAATTCGGTAATTCTGACGCCTTTTAGTGCTCCTGCCTTTTTATTTATTTATTTATTTATGGAAATTTATTGTTTATTTTTATTTTATTTTTTAATTGGAGTCTCACTCTGTCGCCCAGACTGGAGTGCAGTGGCCGCTCCCGGCCACCGCAGCCTCGACCTGCGGGGCTCCGGCGATCCTTCCACCTCAGCCTTCCAAGTAGCCGGAATTACAGGTATGCGCTACCATGCCCGGCTGATTTTTTGAGCTCCTGCCTTTTTAAATTTCACTTCTCCCACAATGGTAAAAGGTTTCCCTTTGAGGACTTTTTCCACCCGGAGAAACAAAAGAATATAGCTCAGGATGAGATCTGGTGAATAGGGAGGGTAGGGCACAGGGTTCACGTCATATTTGGTCAAAAGCAACTGCTGGACACTCAGCACAGTGTAGGCAGGTGCACTGTCATGGTGGAAGAAACAGTCACCTGTTTGCCACAACTTGGGACGTTTCTTCCACAAATCGAGATGCAACCTTTTCAAAACTTCCAGATTAAAACCGATGGGTTCCTAGGGGGAAGAAAGTCTGTACTACAAGAAACCTACCCTCAAAAGACAATTACAGTTTTTGTGGCTCCCCCTTCATATAACCAAATATTATTTCAATATGTGGCACCTATATTCTAAGTGGCTGATGTAGGCTCGTGGCAAGAGGCTACTATAATGGACAATGCAGGCCTAGACAGAGGAAGAGAGACAGCAAGAGAAGCGCTAACTATAATAGGAAAAAGTCAAAGAAACACAAACCAAAAACTAGCCCTGGGAACACAAAGGAAAAAAAAATCTCTTACCATTGTGGTAAGAAGGGAAAGTTAAGAAGGTATGACAGTTTTGGAATACAAGGACAAGAAATAGAAAAAAGAGAAGGAAAACCTTACACAGAGGCAACTAAAGATTAAAAGCACACAGAAACAAGAAACGAAAACATCTATGAGATCACAAGTAACATCAAATGCTCAGAATGAAGGGTCTATGCGAGGAAGAGGCAAAAAAGATTACTGAGGCGTAAGGCAAAGTCCACTACCAAAGGGTACTGGAAATCTTGACAAAGAACTTATGCTGCACAAGCCATGACCAGTTAGAAAGTATAGTCGGAGACAAGACTGATATACAACAGAATAACAGAAAGTATTTAAAAAGCAATGTACAGACTTAAATGGAGAAGTCTTTTAAAAATGTCTGAAAGGCACAAAAGTAGCCTTAAACAGATAGAAAGACAAGCCAAGTTCTTCAACAGCAGTACTTAACATCATAAAGATGTAATTTGTCCCTAAGTTAGAATGTAAGCTTAATGACATTCCAAAAAAGCTTGGGTTTTTTTTTGAGTCAGTCTGTCACCCAGGCTGGAGTGCAGTGGCACGCTTACAGACACCAACGTCTTGACCTGCTGGGCTCAGGCAAACCGTTCACTTCAGCCTTCCAAGTAGCTGGAACCACAGGTGTGGGGCCACCATGCCTGGATAATTTTTTGATTTTTATCACAGAGACAAGGTCTCACCAAGTTGTCCAGGCTGGTCTGGAACCCCTGGGCTCAGGCAATCCTCTCACCTCTGCCTCCCAAAGTGCTGGGATTGCAGGTGTGAGTCACTGTGCCCAGCCTAAAAGAAGTTTTTAAAATTGTTTGATAATAAAGAAAAAGACTGTAAAGGTCATATAGAAAATTAAATAAGCACAGGGAGGAAACTAGCCCTTCTAGATTTTAAAACATACTTTCATGCCTCTATAAATCTAAAAATGTAGTGCTGGTGCAGAAACAGAATAATGAAAAAAGCCAGTGTATGATAAAGAAACCATCTCAACTCACTGAAATAGAGCGAGCTATCAAACACCAGGGCCTTCTGGAAAAACTGAAAAACTAAAGCTGGAATTATACTTCATATAAAACCTCAAGATAAACTCTAAGTAAATCAAAAACTGAAATATAAAAGTAATACCATTAAAGTATCAAAATAAGGGCTTATTCCTTTATATATTTGGAATGTGGAAGACTTACTTACTATGAATCAATATCCAGAAGCCATAAAAGAAAAGACTGATGAATTCAACTGTGTAACAATTCAACAGAAAAACAGAACATGAACAATCACTCACAGAACAGAAATCATGTAAGTTTGTTAACCTCGCTATTGGTAAAAGAAATGCAAATAAATATACAGAGATACCACTTCTCCAACTGATTAGCAAAAAATCGAAGTCTGACAGCATTCTACTGATGAAACAGGCACTTTCATCTACCACTGCTGAGGGTGAAAATTAGCACCACTCTTTTGGAGGGTATAACTTACAACCTCAAAAATCCTTTGCAGTCCTTCTTCTGAGAATGTATTCTATAGATAAGCCTACATACATAAAATGACAATCACAGCATAGAAAGATTTCTAGGATATGTGGTTTTTACAGAATATACAGTATTCTAATATAATAGTACATTACCTTTTGTATAAGAAAAGGGGAAGAAAATACATAAAGAAATGTAAGTAGGACACTGAAAAATAAATCAAAGTGGTCTGTTATAGAGTACACTTAGATAAGACTTCTTAATGTATACTACATTTAAACTACATCATTGTTCAAAACTTGGAACCTAAAATGGATACAAGAAAGCACATTGACAGTGTCCTGTAATGTTACATTGGCTTTCCAAAAACTAAATAAGCAACCCAAATTACATAAATTCAGTAACTCAGCAAATGTTACACTCACCTGGATGCTACAGCCCAACCTGGCAGACCAAATCTTTCATAATCCCCTCCATAAATATCACGCACCAGCTTGTCAGCTTGGGTGCTGTCACCCTTGGATGCCATTTCAAGAGCCTCTTCAAAACTTTCACAGCCAGTCAATAAACTGCATAAACCTAGAAAGGTACCCCCTCCAAGGCTAAAGAAAATAAAGAAACTTGGTGAATTAAGTTGCATTTACACAATATATTATTTTTCAAAGTAAAAGGGTGACTCACTCATTTATTCAACACATGAAAACGTATTACTATGGTAAGTACTGAGATAGTAACATAATGAAAGTTAAAAAAAATTGCTTAGTAAGCTGAGCACAGTGGTTCAAGCCTGTAATCACAGCACTTTGGAGGTGGAGAAGAGAGAATTACCTGAGCGCAGGGGTTCAAGACCAGCTTGAGCAACATGGCAAGATCTCGTCTCTACAACAAATAAAAAAAAAATAGCCAGCCATAGTGGCATGCATCTGTGGTTCCAGTTACTTGGAAAGCTAAGGTAGAAGGATCGCCTGAGCCCAACAGGTCGAGGCTGTGGTGGCTGTGAGTGTGTTACTGCACTACAGCCTGAAGACAGAGTGAGACTCCGACTCAAAAAAAGAAAGAAAAAAATTGCTTAGTAAAACCAAACTCATTAGATCAAAGAAGAAAACAAAGGGAGAAAAAAAATCACTTGGTGGAAACATGATAGGAGGGACCTTTTAAATATCTCCCAGAGTCTTTAGCCTCATAGCTTATACTCTGTAGTTGCTACAAATACATTTTTGTGTGTGCATTAAAAAGGAGTATTAAAAATTAGTACCATGAGAATTAAAAGGAAAATATCTGTAATTTCTTTTTTTTTCTTGAGTTGGAGTCTCACTCTGTCACCCAGGCTGGAGTGCAGTGGCTTACTCACAGCCATCGCTCAACCTGCTGGGTTCAGGCGATCCTTCTGCCTCAGCCTTCCAAGTAGCTGGAACTATAGGCATGCACCACCATGCCCGGCTAATTTTCTGATTTACTGTAGAGATGAGGTCTCGCCAAGTCACTCAGGATGGTCTTGAACCCCCGGGCTGAGACAATTCTCTCACCTCAGTCTCCCAAAGTGCTGGGATTACAGGCTGAGTCACAGCTCCTGGCCAATATCTCTAATTTAAAATTATTTCTATGAAATGATTTTGTGAAAGGCTTATTCACTTGGCCCAATAGAGCTGAAATCAACTCAATGTGGTACATTAACGTTAACATGAACTAGACACAAACAAATGAGTAAACTTATGTCCAGCAGGTCAACATTTTATTGACAGAAATTTACTTGATTCTCCTATTCTTTTAGATATGCTCACAAAATGAAAGTACACTCTCTAATCCCTAAACTTTTGCTCCCTGGACATACTTACACATCTCTAGCAGGTTTTATCCCTGAATTACTGTTGGCTTTACTTAACAGAATTGAGTTTTTTCACAAATTAACCTCATTTAAAGTATCCCCAAATCTATCTTTCTTAGTTAAATAGGAGCTTTCACTTCTCCTCAAAAGTTGATAAAGTACATAAAAGCATCGTAAGTATTTTGTTTGTTTTTTGAGTCGGAGTCTCACTCTGTCGCCCAGGTTGGAGTGCAGTAACACATTCACAGTCACTGCAGTCTTGACCTACTGGACTCAGGTGGTCCTTCTGCCTCAGCCTTCCAAGTAGCTGGAACCACAGACATGTGCCACCATGCCCAGCTAACTTTTTGACTTATTGTAGAGACGAGGTCTTAACCATGTTGCTCAGGCTGGTCTTGAACACCTGAGCTCAGGTAATCCTCTTGCTTCCACTTCTCAAAGTGCTAAGATTACAGGTGTGAGCCATTGCACCCAGCTAAGAACATTTTAAATCTTATTTCACAAACCTATTTCAGGCATTACAGAAAAGTATAGGGGTTTTTGAGAATATTTGTTATCACATACATTCATCCCAGAACAATCACAACGTTACCCAATATTGCAGTTTAAACGGGAATCTATTCAGCACACAGCAAGCTTTATGCTTAAATATATTTTTATTTGTTTATTTAATTATTTTTTGAGTCAGTCTCACTCTGTTATCCAGGCTGGAGTGTAGTGGCACGTGCATGCCCACCACAGCCTCCACCTGCTGGGTTCAGGTGATTCTTCTGCCTCAGTCTTCAAAGTAGCTGGAAATACAGGCTCATATCACCAAGCCCAGCTAATTTTTTAATGTATCATAGACAAGGTCTTGCCATATTGCCCAGGCTGGTCTCGAACTCGTGGGCTCAGGCAATCCTTTCACCTCCACCTCCCAAAATGTTGAGATTATAGGTATGAGTCACTGTGCCCAGCTAAATATATCTACTAAAAAGTGAAAAATAGCACAGCACGGTAGCTCACCCCTGTAATCCCAGCACTTTTGAGAGGCCAAGGCAGGAGGATTGCTTGAGTCCAGGAATTTGAGACCTGCCTAGGCAATACAGTAAACCCTCATCTCTACCAAAAGAAAACCCCCCAAAAGTTAGCCAGGCATGGTGATCCATGTCGATAGTCCCAGAAACTCAGGAGGCTGAGGCGAAGAATCACCTGAGCCTAGGAGGTTGAGGCTGTGGTGAGCTGTGATTGTGCCACCGCACTCCAGCCTGGACAACACAGAGAAAACGCAACTCAAAAAAAAAAAAAAGTAAAAAATAGGTGAAGAAGAAAAATGCTTTGGAAAATTAAAGAACAAAATATCGATACTATAGTTTTGAAATCAATAGAAGAACATGGTTATTTCCACGTGTCGTTCTGTTACAATCCGGAAAACTAGCATTAGTATATTGATTTCACAGCTTCTGTGCATAAAACAATGTGAATGTTGCAATAAGACCAAAAAGGTTACTACCTTGTCCCAGTCACTCTTTTATAGTTGTCTTTGGAATGGACTGCTAAAATACTGACTCCTGAGCCAATGTTCACCACCAGCAGTGGATAGGGATCATCCAAGTTAAAAGGCATTTTTTGGCATCTCTCAGGTTCTGAGGCATTAGCAAAATAGTAGCACTCAGCTTGCCCATTGAAACTGACAGAGTCTATATACAGCAAGCCCTTTACAAGGCAGTCAAGTTCATCCAGTTTGTGTAGGTGGAGGTTTCCAATCTGTTAAAAAAACAAAACAAAACATAGCATTCTAATTACTTGACTCAACTGCACTATAAAAATTTAAAAATCATCAATGACTATCACATTTTTACTTGTTTTGCTTCATGTCAAAATCTCTTAGAGATTTTATCTAGTTCACTGATTCTCAGTGAGGGTAGTATCACAATCTCTGGGAACATGTTGGCTTTCAAATGATGGGGAGAAAGGAAGGACTGAATTGACATTTAATTGACAGGGATTTGGAATGCTGGACATCTGTAATGGGTGAGACATTGCTGTGAAACAGAATTATCCCATCTATAAACTACATTTGAATGTTCTGCCAGACATTTTTGTAGTCACAATGGGAAAATTATTTACAATTATCTAAGCCTATACAAGCACAAAATACTTTATCTGTGCATAAACACAAACTAACTATTCTTCACATCGAAGGCAAGGCAGATCGCTTGCCCAGGAGTTCCAGACTAGCTTGTGCAACATAGCAAGACCTCGTCTCTACAAAAAAAATAATTAGCTGGATGTGGTGGTACATGCCAGTAGCCCCAGCTATTCAGGAAGCTGAGGCAGGAGGATCACCTGACCCAAGGAGGTCAAGGCTGCCGTGAGCCATGATTGTGTTCCTGCACTCCAGCCTGGGTGTCAGAGTGAGACCCAGATTTAAAAAAAAAAACAAACAGGACGGGGTTCGATGGCTCAACCTGTAATCCCAGCACTTTGGGAGGCCAAGGCAAGTGGATTGCCTGAGCCTAGGGATTCAAGACCAGCCCGGGCAACTTGGCGAGACCTTGCCTCTACAATAAATAAAAAATTAGCCAGGCATGGTAGCATGCGCCTGTAGTTCCAGCTACTTGGAAGATTGAGGCAGAAGGATCATCACCCCACCAGGTGACGCTGGGGTGGCTGTGAGTGTGTCACTGTACTCCAGTCTGGCCAATGGAGTGAGACTCCAACTAAAAAAACAAACAAACAAGCAAAAAAAATTATATATATGCTAAATTTGCTAGGAATTCAACCACCATACAAACCAAGGAAATACTGTTCTTCTTACTGTTTGGAATTTTGCTAAGTGTTGTTCGGCATCTCATAGAGTCATGTCACCAACAACACTACCATTTATGGTATCTGATTCCCCAATAGAACATATATATCATCTGGCATTTGTAGCTTTGGTATTCGCAATGAATCATGTATAGGTGCAAGCATCTGACCACTTCATTATGTCTTCTGGTATGATCATACCAGCGAATCTACCTACTGACATATAATTAACTTCCTGTCTTTATATTATAATTTGAGTACTGGTTTGAAATTATTAAATTCATTTCAGGTTAATAGAGTATTGTTAAGTATGTTATAAAAGATCTCAGTTTAAACATCACTTCCTCGAAGTAGCTCTTCAACTCTCTAGGAGTTGTTAGCTAGCATTCCATTATTGTTCTCTTGCCACTAGTACTTTTTGAGTCGGCATCTCAATCTGTCGCCCAGGCTGGAGTTCAGTGGCTAGTGATCACAGCTACTGCAGCCTTGATCTGCTGGGCTCAGGTGATCCTTCTGCCTCAGTCTCACAAGTAGCTGGGATTACAGGCGCATGCCACCACACCTGGCTAATTTTCTGATTTATTATAGAGATGAGGTCTGGCCAAGTTGCCCAGGTTGGTCTTGAACTACCTGGCTCAGACAATCCTCTTGCCTCCAGCTTCCAAAGTGCTGGGTTTACAGGCATGAGCAACCGCACCAGGCGCCACTAATATTAATTATAATGCATCACACTTCTAGTTGTAATTTACTTATCTATGTGGTCTAGAATATCTGTGTCTCAAGCCCATCCATATTCTTCCAGTGTTTAGCACAATACTTGACACATACTTGGTGCTTATTTGCCTAATAAATGAGTATCAAAAAATCAAATATATTGTTATACTTCAACATTAAAAAGTTGATTGAAAAAACATTACATATTTTTTTAAAAACTAGAACACCATATTTAGATACCAGTGTTTTATCTTATTTTTTGAGTCGTAGTCTCACTGTCACCCAGGCTGGAGTGCAGTGGTACACTTACTGCCACTGCAGCCTCGACCTGCTAGACTCAGGAGATCCTTCTACCTCAACCTTTCATGTAGCTGGAATCATAGGTGCATGCCACCACACCCAGCTGTTTTTTGTTGAGTTATTGTAGTGACAAGGTCTCCCCAAGTTGCCTGGGCTGCTCTCAAACCTGTGGGCTCAGGCAATCCTCTAATCTCCGCATTCTAAAGTGCTGGGATTACAGGTGTGAGCCACTACATCTAGCCTGGATTATTTTTAATGGCCAGGTGAAAGGTGGCTTCAATGAGACTGCTTTTGTCAATATTGGCAAACATTCACTATCACATGTGAAAACATAATCTCAAATTCAAGAAATTTATGTTCAAATAACTAAAACTGAATACAAATCACCATTATCCATAAATTAAAAAAAAAAAGAATTTAAACAAGAATTACACCTTAAACTACCCCCAGACCAGGCCCAGTAGATCACACCTATAATCCCAGTACTGTGGAAGGGTGAGGTGAAAGGATTGCCTGAGCTCACAGGTTTGAGACCAGCCTGGGCAACTTGATGAGACCTCATCTCTACAATAAATCAAAAAATTAGCGTGCGCCTATAGTTCTAACTACTTGGAAGACCAAGGAGGAAGGATCACCTGAGACCAGCAGGTCAAGTATGCCACGGCCGGGAGCGTGTCACTGCCCTCTAACCTGCGCAACAGAGTAAGACTCTGACTCAAAATAAAAAAAATTTAAAAATTAAAAAAAGAAAGAAAAGAACAGAAGCTTGGTAAACCCCTAAACAGCACATTACTCAAACCAATATTCTCAGTCCTCTTGCCATATCCATCCAAATCACTCCACTGGACTCAGAAACATGGTAGGGTTGATAGTATAAAAGCCAAAAAAAGGGATGACAGGGATTTCCATTCAGATGTTTACCAACCAAAAGACACCACTCTCCAAACTTGGATGTGGGAAGGAGAGGACCCTGGAATACTACTGTATGAATATTCAAAAGCCGTGTAAATGTAGGACAATAATAGTGAAAATAATTCAAGCTCCATTTATATCTGGTATTATACATTGCCAAATTCATTGAAATCCTCAAGTTCCCTTCTTTTTGCAGTTTTGTAGCAGAGTCCTAAACTTAGTTCTACCAAATATTATGTACAATAACATGTCAAAATCTGGGCAAGTTTTAGTCAGCCTAGGAATGTGTTGAAAATACCCCAAGTGAGCCGGGCTCGGTGGCTCAGCCTGTAATCCCGCGCCTTTGGAAGGCTGAGGTGAGTGGATTGCCTGAGCCCGCGGGTTCGAGACCCACCTGGGCAACTTGGTGAGACCTTATCTCTACAATAAATCAAAATGAGCCGGGTGTGGTAGTGTGTGCCTGTAGTTCCAGTTACTTGGAAGGCTGAGGTGGAAGGATCGCCAGAGCCCAGCAGGTCGAGGCTGTGGTGGCCAGGAGCGGCCACTGCACTCCAGTCTAGGTGACAGAGTGAGACTCCAACTCAAAAAAAGAAAATACCCCAAGTGAAAGGCTAGTAAGGAACACATAGATCTTTTGTGCCTGCAGGGAGAAATAACCTAAGGAGCATGCTAGATTGAAACCCTACCCTCATATTTAGAAACTTGAACAGAATGGGTGTCGATTTTTTGTTTTGAGTAACCGATACCTACTGTGCGAAAATCTTTTTCAAACTTGTAAGCACCACCTCCTGTAGCACATAGCACCGTTTGTAATGTTGAGAAGTTTTTATCTCTTCCCATTTGGATAAAAGTAGGCAGGTCCTGGGTTGGAAATCTGATAAAGTGCAAGTTCCCTCTTCGGCCAAAAAGTGTTAAATCTTTTAGTTCAAGGTGTACATCTCGAATGCCAGTGGATCCATATGCCACGTTAGAAGTCAAATATTTCCGAATACTTTTTAAGCTCTCAACTTCTTCTTGTTCCTCCTCTGCTGTGATATCAATAGGTTCAAAATATGAGAGCTTTACCAGAGTTCCTCCAATGTCCATGCCAAACCACGGGAAAGCTATGAATTTAAAAAAAAACACACATATATATAAATTAGCCACAAACCTCATTAGCCCTGAATCATGCATTCAGTCAACAATAGTTACTAGACAAAACACGTGTAATATGTGTCTTCAAAGTTTTATTAATGTATTTTCTAAAAACTTGTAACATAGGGTACTTAAAGATGACCCAGAGTCCTGGTCTGGTAGGCATTCCTTTTTATTTATTAAATACTAATCATGTGCACCAAGAGACAGAAAAAAATAGTACCAATTTTGCTTCAACAAGGTCATTACCTAGAGCTTGAAATTCTTTGTTTCTATAAAGATTTTAATACAATAAAATTGGTCTATAATCATTTTAAGTAACCCACGGGAAAAGTATCTACTTAAAAAGAAATTTTTGCCATTGCTCATTAAGCATATTAGGTTTCTTGGGTTCATCTAGCTAATAAAATGAGCTGAAATAATGTTAAAAGTAAGTCTACTCAGGGACAAGCACATTCAGGCAGGCATTGTCATTTGGGTTAGGATTTGGTACTTGCTCTCTCACTAAAAGGACTATATAACTTCAGAAAAGGCATGAAGCTCTCTGGATCTTAGTTTTCTGAATTTCCTTCAGTAAATATGATCTACCTACTCTATACTCCAGAATGGGAATGTAAAAGAGTAAGATAAAATTCCTACTCTCAATTTAGTAAGGAATGTAAATACAAATACATAAGGATGTAACAGAAAAAATAAAATTATATGCAAATTATAAGCCAATAAAAGGAATGCTAAACTCTATGCCTGTGTTTGAGTGTGGATAACACTAAAAACAAAAAGAGCCTAACCAGGCTGGGTGTGAGGAGTGCCTGAGTACAGGGAAATGAGAAAAACCTGGACAACTCGGCAAGACCTCATCTCTACAATAAATCAAAAAATTAGCCAGGCATGGTGGTGCACGCCTGTAGTTTCTGCTACTTGGAAGGCTAAGGCGAAAGGACTGCCTGTACCTAGCAGGTCAAGGCTGCAGTAGCCCTGAGGGGGCCAGTGAATTCCAGGCTGGGCAACAAAGAGAGATTCTGTCTCAAAATAAATAAATATGGAAAAAACAAAAACAAAAAAACAGCACATCCAAAGGCAAAGAGGCATAAATCAATACAGTTAGAGAACTAGCCCAGAAGGCTGAGACCAGGGGTTCAAGACCAGCCTGGGCAACTCGGCAAGACCTCCTCTCTACAATAAACCAAAAAACTAGTTGAGTGTGGTGGTGTGCGCCCGTGGTTCCAGCTACTTGGAAGCTGAGGCGGAGGGATCACCTGAGCACAGCAGGTCGAGGATGTGGTGGCCTGAGTATGTCCCTGCACTCCAGCCAGGGCAACAAAGTGAGACTCCGACTCAAAAAAAAAAAAAAAGGAAAAAAAAGAAGCTTAACTTAGTAGTAGTGTGCAGGATGCATAACAGCTGCTTAAGATGTGTCTGTTGGCTGGGCACGGTGGCTCATCTATAATCCTAGCACTTTGAGAGGTCTAGGTGAGAGGATTGCCTGAGCTCACGGGTTTGACACCAGCCTGGGCAACTTGGCCAGACCTCATCTCCACAATAAACCAAAAAATCAGCTGGATGTGGTGGTGTACACCTGTAATTCCAGCTACTTGGAAGGCTGAGGTAGAAGGATTGCCTGAGCCCAGAAGGTGAGGTTGCGGTAGCCAGGAGCATGCCACTGCACTCCAATCTGGGCGAGAGTGAGAATCCGACTCAAAAAATAAAAAATAAAAAGATGTGTCTGTAAAGTAAGGGTAAGGTACCCTAAATCTAGAAGATCGAAATCACCTAGGTATCATTTTTAAAAGTACAGATTAGGCTGGGTGCAGTGGCAAAAGCCTGTAATCCTAGCACTTTGGGAGACAGAGGTGAGAGGATTGCCTGAGCCCAGGGGTTCAAGACCAGCCTGGGTAATTTGGTGAGACCTTGTCTCTACAATAAGTCAAAAAATTAGCCGGGCTTGGTAGTACATGCCTGTAGTTCCAGTTACTTGGAAGGCCGAGGTGGAAGTATCACTGGAGCCCAGCAGGTCGACGCTGGGGTGGCTGTGAGCGTTGCCAGTCTGGGTGACAGAGTGAGTCTCCAACTCAAAAAAAGAAAGCCTGTTTCTACTCTCTAGGATTTTAACGATTATGATTGAGATTCAAATAATTTAATACTTAAGATATATAAAATACAGAATGCTTGGCAGCAACATATTTAATGGTTTGTTGTTGTTTTTTTTTTTTAAGATGGAGTCTCACTCTATCACCCAGGCTGGAGTGCAGTGGCATGCTCACAGCTACTGCAGCCTCGACCTGCTGGGCTCAGGTGATCCTTCCGCTTTAGCCCTCCAAGTGACTGGAACTACAGGTGCGTAATACCATGCCCCGCTTATTTTTTGACTTATTGTAGATACAAGGTCTCACCAAGTTGCCCAAGCTGGTCTCAAATCCCCGGGTTCAGACAATCCTCTCACCATGGTCTCCCAAAGTGCTGGGATTATAGCCTGAGCCACCACACCTGGCCTATTTAACAGTTTTAATGTAAAGGTTGGCTGGGTGTGGTGGCTCACACCTATAATCCCAGCACTTGGAAAGTCAAGATGAGAGGACTGCCTGAGCCCATGAGTTCAAGACCAGCCTGGAGCTTGGTGAGATTTTGTCTCTACAATAAATCAAAAATTAGGTGGACATGGTGGTGTATGCCTATAGTTCCAGCTACTTGGAAGGCTGAGGCACAAGGATCACCTGAGTCCAACAAGTCGAGGCTGTGGTGGCTATGAGTGTGCCAATGCACTCCAGCTTGGGCAACAGAGCGAGAATCTGACTCAAAAAAAAAAAAAAAAAAAAGTAAAGGTTATCATGGAAAATTAATTCTCTCTTAAATTTTACTTTGGCCGGGCTCGGTGGCTCAGCCTGTAATCCTGCGCCTTTGGGAGACTGAGGTGAGTGGATTGCCTGAGCTCGCGGGTTCGAGACCCACCTGGGCAGCGAGACCTCATCTCTACAATAAATCAAAAAATCAGCTGGGCGTGGTAGCGCATGCCTGTAATTCCAGCTACTTGGAAGGCTGAGGCGGAAGGATCGCCGGAGCCCAGCAGGTCGAGGCTGTGGTGGCCGGGAGCGGCCACTGCACTTCAGTCTGGACGACAGAGTGAGACTCCAACAACAACAAAAAAAAAAATTCTACTTTGTTTCTTAAATACTCATATTTTACTTATTTACTATGTATATAACATTAGAAAACCAGGAATATACAATACCACGAGAAAGGATTCCATACATTTCTCTACTCTGGAATTTAAAGTTAGTAAAATCAGTACATGATTCTGAATATGAAGAAGAAACCCATTACTCATTATCTTCTTTTAGAGAAGTAGCTCATTTGTTTTTATGTTTGAAACACATACTGCAAATCTAGAGCTACATTAAAGAATATCTAAAGACAAAGTTTTTTAAAAGGTTTGGACTATAATTTGGTAAGCAAGGGACAGCAAGACCTTAAACACTATGCTTTTATGTTGCCTACAGACTGGTATAAATAACTAAGAAGCAACAGAATCAGAAGAAATTGACTAAATTTTCTCAGTTTTGTTGAGTGACTAGTAATGAAGGCCATCATACTTATAGCACACTCTTGAATGCAGGCCAGTTACAGAAACCATATAACACATCCTTAGGTAAAAAGAAATGTAGTATCACTAAGTTTTGCTTTCAGTTTAATTCACGAAGTCTAGAATTTCTACTTTAGGAAACTGATGTAAAAGTTACAGATTACCTCCCTGCTTGCAAGCAGAAATACTGCTTGGACAAATACAGGTAGAGAAAACAATAGGGCAGGGCACAGTGGCTCATGCCTATAATCCCAGCACTTTGGGAGGCCAAGGTGAGAGGATTGCCTGAGCCTGGGTTCTAGACCAGCCTGAGCAACTTGGCAAGACCTCATTTCTACAATAAATCAAAAAATTAGCCGGGTGTGGTAGCACACACCTGTAGTTTCAGTTACTTAGAAGGCTGAGGTGGAAGGATAATCTGAGCCCAATAGGTTGAGGCTGTGGCAGCTAGGAGCATGCCACTGCATTGAACTCAAAAAAAAAAAAAAAAAGAAAGAAAGAAAGAAAGAAAGAAAACAATAGATCTAATCCTATATACTAAAGAAATTCCTTCAGAAATATCCCATCTGTTGCAAAGACATGTATAATTAGGATAGTTTTCAACAGGCATTAGATAAAACAAAGGAATCCTTCTGATATTAAATAGCCGAAATGGGCCAGAAGCAGGGGCTCACGCATGTAATCCCAACACTTTGGCAGGCCGAGGTGTGAGGATCACTTGAGACCAGGAGTTTGAGACCAGTCTGGGCAACAGAGGAAGACCACATCCCTACAAAGATTTTTCTTTTTTGGACTCTCATTCTGTCGTCCAGACTGGAGTACAGTAGAACGCTCATGGCCACTGTAGTCTTGACCTGCTGGACTCGGGTGATCCTTCCGCCTCAGCCTTCTAAGCAGCTGAACTACAGGCACATGCCACCACAACTGGCTAATTTTTTGATTTATTGTAGAGATGAAGTCCCGCCAAGTTCAAGGCTGGTCTTGAACGCATGGGCTCAGGCAATCTTCTCACCTCAGCCTCCCAAAGTACTGAGATTATAGGCGTGAGCCACACCTGGACACTACAAATTTAAAAAAATAATTAGCCTAGCACGGTGGCATACATCTATAATCCCAGCAACTCAGGAGGTTGAGGCCAGAAGGGTTACCTGAGCCCAGGAGGTCAAGGATGTGGACAGCCGTTATCCTGCCATTGTACTCCAGCTTGGGCCACAGAGACTCCAACTCAATCAATCAAGCAATAACCAAAACAAATTCCCCTATTTGATGCTTGATTCTATAAGTATTTTTGGGGGGGTAGGGAAATGGAAAACAACTGCACATCAAGTACATTTTAGGACAGAAAAATTTCTACAAGGTGAGATTCATTAAGCTAAAAATCTTTATTTTTCA